TCTCCAGTCTTCGAGCCAAAATTTGCAAAGTATCTTTAGATCCACATTAAGAAGACTTATTGGTCTTAGGTTACCACATTTATTGCACGGTTTACCAGGTTTGGGCAATAAAGTTATCAGGGCTCCTCTTAATGAGACCGGAAGGATTCCCTTTTCAAATGAATCCGAAAACATGTCAAAAAGAGGGGACAGCAGTTTAGTTTTAAATACCCTATAAATTTCTGTCGGCAGCCCATCTGGGCCTGGGGCTTTACCTGTTTTCAAATGGTCTATTGCTATAGATATCTCCTCCTTTGTTATAGGTGTATCAAGATCTGCGCTCATTAGTCCTGAAATGCTGGGCAACTGAAGGGTATCTAAGAAGAGATCTTGCTCTTGTCCCATGTGTGTTATGTCTGAGTTATATAATTTTTCAAAAAAAACCTTAAAAGTTTCATTAATTCCTAGAGGGTCAACAATAACCTGTCCATCACTGTTTTCAACTGAGGCAATGTTTTTCTCATTCTGTAATTGACGGAGGCGCCAGGCTAATAATTTCCCGGGCTTTTCCCCTTGATCATATAATGTCTGTTTAAGACGCAAAAGATGTGAGGCTGCCTTAGAAGCAGAAAGTTCATTATACTGTGTTCTTAGTAACAGAAGCTTTTGATGGACTCTTGGACAAAAACTTTGAAAATATTCTCCCTCAAGCATCTCAATCTCTGCCTCCAACTTTTTTGTTTTCTGATAAGTTTGCTTTGCTCTATAACTTGTGAAGCTAATAATCTGACCCCTTATGTAGGCCTTAAAAGCTTCCCATCTTGAGCAGGGTGATGTTTCATCCCTATTAGTATCAAAAAAAATGTTTATTTGGTTATCTATGAAAGATATAAATTCTGAGTCTAGGAGCCACTTTTGTTTAAATCTCCACCTAGGGGGATCTCTCTTCAGTCTCAAATCTTCATATATTAACGAGTTTGGCGAATGGTCAGATATTAAAATATTATCATAGTGACAGTCCTTTATTTTATAACTCAAATTGGCAGAAACTAAAAAGTAATCAATACGCGAGTATGATTTATGTGTATGTGAATAGCAGGAGTATTTTAAGACCTTAGGGTTCATATCCCTCCAAATATCCCTCAGATCAAGTTCTTTCATAAAATATTGAATAGTTTGCCTACTTTTAGGATGAGAGAGATCAATACCTGAGCTCCTATCCAATTCTGGGTTCAACGTACAATTAAAATCCCCTGCTATAATAAGGCTACCAGACAGACATGATACTGTAAGAAAAAGATTATGAAAAAACTTTGGGTCGTCAGTGTTTGGAGCATAGATATTTATCAGGATTATTTTTTCCGTAATAAGTGTGCCCTGTAAAATAACATATCTCCCAGCCTTGTCTTTAATAACCCTTGTCACCTGAAATGGTATAGATTTGTGGATCAAGATCATAACACCTCTTGCCTGAGAAGTGAAGGGCGCAGAATATATACTGCCTTGCCACCTCCTCCTAATCTTCGCCTCTTGACTAGACAACAGGTGCGTTTCCTGTAGCAGCATGATATCAGAGTGCATAGAGTTCAGCCTAGACATTACTTGTTTTACCTTCTCCAGTTTTTGTAGCCCTCTGCAGTTCCAAGAAGAAATTTTAATTCTTATCCCACCAGACATAACATATAACACTGAATGAGCTTCCCAACACATTTGAAATATTAAAGGACAGAGAAACAAATAATACCTGAATGTCAAAAACTACATCCATAACAATGAATACTGAATATGCCCCTTTAACTTGAACTTGGGCACCCATTTCCCTCCCCCTATACATATTGGCACCTGTCTAACAGCTAAAGGTTGTTCCACCCAAAAGTGAGGATCAACCGACTGTGCCTGAACACTTTTCCCTTACCCCACCCCGCTATGCAAACAAAAAACTCGTTATTGAATACGATAAGAAAATCAGGGTACTAATAGTGGCTGTGAGCCTCTGGACCAATAAACAAATAAATATAACAAACTGGCTTTTCTCTCTCTCCCTCTCACTTCTTTTTAAACTTAAAGCTCAGTAATCACCCCTCCATGCCAACACACTGTAGTATGACCATGATTACATCATCTCACCCCGGTCCACTTTCTGACCCCAGAGCCTTCACAAAGTTCTCCGCTTCACCTGGCAGGTGAAAGATGCGGGACTGTCCGTTGTGTGTCACTATCAGTCGCGCAGGAGGAATCATGCCGTACCGGATACCCATGGAGCGAAGCTGTTGTCTCACGGCGTCAAACTCTTTCTGTTTTTTGTGCACTCCGGTCGCTAGGTCCTCATAAAATCTCACCGGGCGATTCTTGAAAAGAATCTGTCCCTTTGCCCTGGCAGCTCTTATCACGGTCATTTTATCCTTGTAATTTAGAAACTTCATGATCATAGTCCTTGGTGCAGCGGTATTTGACATATTCTTCTGGCCGACCCGATGCGCTCTCTCCAGCGTCAGAGCGGTTCGTAGCGGCGCCAAGTTCAGAGCCTCCGGTAGCCAGCTTTCCAAAAAAGCGCACGCGTCTTCTCCTTCTGCGTCCTCGGGCAGGTTAACAAGTCTCAAGTTAGATCGTCGCGATCTGGTCTCCAGATCCAGCACTTTGTCCTCGAGGTTTTTGTTGTTATTTTCAAAGAGAACCTTTGCTTCCAAGGTGGTAATGCTATCTTCCGCTGCAGATATCCGGGCCTCCGCCTCGCTGACCCGCTTGGCACACTCATTAACATCCTTCCTCACGGTCTCTATTGCTGACAAAATACCATCAAGTTTGGAGGAAAAATCGGATTTCAAGCTTGCAATAGCCGCCAGTATTACGTCTGAGCCTTCGGCCGTCTCTTCCCTCTCAGTCGGCTCATCATTTCCCTCCTCCACCGCCTGGCTAGCGTTAATATTAGTCTCGCTATCTTCACGGCTAACCCTAGCTTCACAGCTAGCCTCAGAGTTCAACTTAGAAGTGAAGTCAGATAATTTCGATTGAGTCGGTCTACCAATGTTTTTCCCGGGTTTCCTTTGCGAGAGAAGCATCACAGCTGTCCTAGGTGTCGTTCAATGTCTAACAAACGAGTATTATTCAGGATTTTACAGAAAGATAGCGGAGCAGAAGTGGGCACGTCCTTTCAGCCAGCCGCCATTACCGGACCTTTTTTTTTTTTTTTTTTTGGGGGGGGGTTTGGGTTTTTTTTTTTTTTTATTAGTAATATAAACATACAAACAAAATGCACCATATATTACAGATTCAGAGAATAAACATTTCTTACATATTAGCAACTTTCATATATAGTGAAAATAAAATATAAAGATGGGGTCACATAAATTAACAGATTATTAACTCACTAAATCAAAATCTTCTACAAAGGAAACAAAAAAAGCAGCCTTTTTCTTTTTAACTAAAGTCAAAGATTTAACCAACAGGTTTAGGTCGTTTTTCCAGTGAGCCAGTGTTGGTTTAATCTTAAAAAAGCGACATTTATGTATAAAATACTTACACAAGATTGCCATTACCGGACCTGCTGTCGCAGTTTTATCAGATTATAACAGAATGTTTGTGTATATGCAGCTTTTCAGGCATTTATTTTTACTGTGTTTAATCTCTCCTCAGGATATCTTCCTCATGCATGACAAGGACAAAACTCAGCGCCTCGAATATCAGGAGGTCATGCCCTCGCTGAAAGCAGCAGGTAGCATTCACAACACTTTTTCATCCTGTGTCATTTAACCGCTGAGGGTCTCCATCGGTCGGTAAAAATCCGACCAGCAGAGGGAGCCAAACACCTTTTTCGCTCAACGTGTGATCCTAAAAGGGTCACATGTTTGGTCACATGTGTAACTAAAGTCCTGTGTTTCCCAAGTCGTCACATTAGTCAAACATTTTTGCACCATTGAAGTTAAATTAATTAATAAGCAGACCGTTTTGACTACATGAAATGAAAAAGATGTGCAGTTTGTGTGGAGAACTTTTTTTTCTGAAGTCATTAAAATCACAAAACACAAACGTTTTGGTTCATCACTCATACGTCACTCAGACGGGAGCTGCCTAATGGACTGGCTGGGATCAGGGAAACGAGTGTGCGGTCATATATGTCACCTGTGCACATGTGGAGTTTATTGCAATAAAAACAGGTATCCCACCCAGTGCTTCTGCACCTGCGTTTTACCCCCACCTCTGCTCCATCTGTCCCTGCTGCAGGCATCCGGGTGGACGAGTTGGTGATGCAGCTGGTTGGACTGAGATACACGGAGCCGGACATGACCATCAGTTACCCCGGCTTCCTGTACCTGCTGATGAAACTGGAGAGCATGATCCGTAAGAGGGGGTGATGCGGGGCGGGGTGGGGGTGCAAGCATTGTTACAGCTTTCTGTCTTTCAGAGGAGATGAATGGTATAAATTAGAAACAGCAAGTGGTTTTAATCACCATATTTGCTGGTAAATGACACCACAAGGCCACGAGAGAAAGAAGCAGAGGATGACAGAGGAGCGAGAGAGAGAACGGATGAGGTGACAGAGGAGGCGTGGGAAAAAAGGGAGGAGAAACAAGAGGAAGAGAGACGACGAGGAGAGAGATGTTTTCATAAGCTGGAACAGAAAAGACTGATTCTTTTTATTACTGAGCAGGAAAACCGTTCAAGCCTGTCGTATTAACAGTTACTTACTCCCCCAAAAAATAAAATTCACGTCTACTTTTCACGTTTAGCTTAAATTGCCCATAATAACCCTGTTTGTTGTGTCATTATACACAAGCTCGTTTTGCCCAGAATCAGTCATGTGATGTTTTAATTTGAACTAAAAGTCAAAGTTAAAACATCACATGACAGGAATGTTTGGAAAGCCTCTATAAGCCAACTCAGCAGCTCATTCGTGATTCTCTGAACTGTTTTGATGCAGACGACAAACATTAGCTGTGTCTCAATATCGTCTTTTCGTCCTCTTGCAGACAAATTTCAGGCATACGACGTGATGGGAACGGGAGCAGTAACCATCAGCTACAGACAGGTATGAATATAGTGTAACGTTAGAGCTGAAGAGTGAACTTAGCGATCCTTTAAATGTGAGAGTCCTGTCACTTCATGTCTCACGGTTGTAAAAACAGAACAAAATGAAACAGGAATCTCGGGGCGCGCAGCGGTTTGTGAGGCTGAAACTCACTTGTTTGGACCTGTACAGTGGGTGAGAGGTTGTTCTCATGAAATGTCATCTGGTAAAGTCTGACTCTTCAAATATCATTACAACATAACCTCAGGCTTCTTTAGGCAACCAATGCATATTAAGGCTACGAGTACGTGTGAAACTGCTTTCAGCTTTGCAGTTTTCACTGTATGAAATGCCATGAAAAGTAACAGTTAAAGGGAATTGTGGAAGATCTGGAAGTGCAAGAAAACTTCAAGATGAAAGTGAACGTCTCCTGGGCAGGAAGGCAAAGATAAACACCCACATAACTGTAGAGAACCTGCAGGGAGCTTTAGCTAGCAGTCGAGCAGTGACATCCCAAGTAATTGTGAGCCAGTTTCTGTAAGCAGGGGTGATCAGAAGGAAACCCTGTTGCACGTCTACAGAAATGTGCAGCATTTGATCCAGAGAACACATAAAGAACACTTCATCAAGTCTTAAACGTACAGCCGTAAATGTTCAGCTCTGTGAATGTGTGAGAGTCAGCAAGCATGTCCGTCCAAATCAGAAATGCAAACCTGACCAAAAAAACAAAACAAACTGTGAATAAAGTGAAAGGATGCTTGCTGAACTTAAATGGGCTGCTTGTAGAAGGCAGACTGAAGTATCTCAGAAAGGTCTCATAAACAGTGCACACAGAGCTGCTGTGGAGTCACGCACAGGTTTGGGTTTGTGCTTCTTGCAATGGACACAGTAGAGAGCGCACAGTTAGTATGATGGCAGCTTTAATGTCAATAATGATATATCACTTCTTCTGCCCTCTGATTGGTTCCAGTGGCTCCACATGACCATGTACAACTGAACTGAACTGCTCTACCCAGACACCCTCACCTGGATCACCTCAGTTTCGTTTTTCCTGCTCTTTTTTCATTTTTGTACGTTTGTGTAGTTCTGTGCCAAAAATGTTTATTGCAGAAACAGAAACATATGGCAAACAGAAAAGTGAATATTTCTGAAGCTGTTTTTCTTTCCTCACACACTCAAACAATAGCAATGGAAACGACCTTAAGAACTCTCCTGAGTCGTGCAAACAGCCAAAGTCAAAGGTCAAGGCAGGATGTGCTGCTGTGAGGAAGTTTATGATGAAACTTCAGTGACTTCACCTTCATTGTCCTCTCAGTCTGACATCATTTCTCAACATGCCTCTAAATGAGAGACAATAAACACAGAGCCTCTTTTACTTTGTTCAAAACCACAGAAGACTGTTTGCCTGTGTCCCAACACCGATCATCATACCTAAAATAATCAATAAAATATGCTGTCCTCCTGATCAACATGCATTTTTGTTCAGACTCATTTAATTTACACTCAAAATCTAAGTGTGTGTGCGTGCATTCATGTATGTGTGTATGTTTGTTAACTTGTCTTTTGTGTTTCATTGTAAAATTTTAGGTTTTTATCTTGTGAGTTTGAGTATACTGATGTGTGCTATATTAAGAAAATTGTCATAATTTATGTGGAGTAAACAAAAGTTTTGGTTTGAGATTAGACAAAAAAAATCTGTTAAAACATTTCAGTGTGTTGTAATTACGTTCAGATCAGTTTTATTTACACCAGTTGACTCAAGGTGCTAATTCAAGTGGTTTCCAAGGAAACCGGTCTCCTGCACCTCCTCTGAGCTGCATTTTTAGCCCATGATAGATGACTTTGTAGCCAAAAAAGAAAGAAAAAGGCAATGTTTATAACATGCAGTTGTGACATGTAAGTACATGATGAGTTAAGAAGCTCAGTGCATCACTGTGCGTCGGCAGCCTACGGCAGCATAACTATGGAGGGTTCAGGGTCACCTGATCCAGCTGTAACTACAAGCTTTAAGATAGCTAGAGAGAATATGGTCATCTCAGGTACACAGCCATTCAAATCTGCTGTTCACAATGGACAGTCAATCAGAGCAAAGCTATCTTAAAAGAATAAAGGCATGCAAAGCTACTCTACTGGTGTCTTTTAATTTTATGCAAGTCTTTCCCTCAGCCAGACCAGACTTATCTCCTTGTTGCCTGGTTATGTGAATGTGCCGTACGGTGACCGTAGCCATGGGAGATCTTCTGAGAAATGACCCTCTGTCCTCTGCTCATGGCTGGAATGTGTAAATATCCGTCTTCCAGCATCATTCGTCAAAGTGAGAGCAGTCAGAGATGCACATACCAGCGGGTCTGTGCGTGTGTGTTTGTGTGCTTCCTGCATTTTTAGAACTGCATGTCACGCTCATAGATCCACGCTCTTCAGTGGAAGCTGCTCAAATGATTTTTTTCTTTTGTGCCTGATTTCACAGCAACATATTTATACGGAAATAAAAACAATCATCAGTTCAACATAATAAAGGTGCGTGTGTTCCCCCGTGTTTGTTTTTCCATAAAACACCACACATGTCCTGAAGAAACAAGAACACTATATGCTTAAAAGGTTCAGTTTTCAGTTGTTATTACACTCTGAAATCCGACAGTAGAAGTAATAAAGGTTTTTTTAAAGAGACTCATTAGTTCAGCTTTCTGTTTTAGCTCGATGTGGTTTCCAGTTTCTGGCTCTTTCCTCCTGATGTTTTTTGGATGAACCCTTGACCAACCAGTCTGTCCTACTCTGGTTGTTTTTTTCCACTGAGATAATTGGGTTGGATCATGTTTATTGTTTTTTTTTTGTTGATGAGTGAGTATAGGGGTGGGATTTAATAAGTTTTCTTCGTCCCACTCCTTTTTCAGGCAAGTTTTGTTTTTTGTTTTGTGTATTTTATGTTCAATATAGGTATTTGTTGTGCCTGAAAATGAATAAAAATAAAAACATTAAAAAAAAAGTGTGGCTTCCTGCATGAGAAATGTCTGAATGCTTGAATTCAATTCAATTTTATTTATATAGCGCCAAATCACAACATAAGTCGCCTCAAGGCGCTTCATAGATACAGAGAAAAACCCAACAATCATATGACCCCCTATGAGCAAGCACTTTGGCAACAGTGGGAAGGAAAAACTCCCTTTTAACAGGAAGAAACCTCCGGCAGAACCAGGCTCAGGGAGGGGCGGGGCCATCTGCTGCGACCGGTTGGGGTGAGAGAAGGAAGACAGGATAAAGACATGCTGTGGAAGAGAGACAGAGGTTAATAACATATATGATTCAATGCAGAGAGGTCTGTTAACACATAGTGAGTGAGAAAGGTGACTGGAAAGGAAAACCTCAATGCATCATGGGAATCCCCGGCAGCCTACGTCTATTGCAGCATAACCAAGGGAGGATTCAGGGTCACCTGGTCCAGCCCTAACTATATGCTTTAGCAAAAAGGAAAGTTTTAAGCCTAATCTTGAAAGTAGAGATAGTGTCTGTCTCCTGAATCCAAACTGGAAGCTGGTTCCACAGAAGAGGGGCCTGAAAACTGAAGGCTCTGCCTCCCATTCTACTTTTAAATACTCTAGGAACAACAAGTAGGCCTGCAGAGCGAGAGCCAAGTGCTCTAATAGGGTGATATGGTACTACAAGGTCATTAAGATAAGATGGGGCCTGATTATTTAAGACCTTGTATGTGAGGAGCAGGATTTTGAATTCAATTCTGGATTTAACAGGAAGCCAATGAAGGGAAGCCAAAACAGGAGAAATCTGCTCTCTCTTTCTAGTCCCTGTCAGGACTCTTGCTGCAGCATTTTGGATTAGCTGAAGGCTTTTCAGTGAGTTTTTTGGACATCCTGATAATAATGAATTACAGTCGTCCAGCCTGGAAGTAATAAATGCATGAACTAGTTTTTCAGCGTCACTCTGAGACAGGATATTTCTAACTTTAGAGATGTTGCACAAATGGAAGAACGTAGTCTTACATATTTGTTTAATATGTGCGTTGAAGCTTTCCCAACTGAGAGAAGTGACCCTGACGTATCTGCATCCAAAATAAGAGTTGGTGGAATTCAGCATTCCCTTTATTACCTCATTCAGCAATGAAGACAATGAACCATTGAAGTGTGATCCTATAGTTATAACAGTTTTCCAAGCAGATGCTCTGTTCTGCAACATTACACTGCTGCATTAAAATGTATAAAAACCATATTGTTATGATGTTGATGCGCCGTGAATAAAGATTAAAAAGCTGAACATAGCATCAAGTCACACAAATCCTAAATAAAGGCAGGATGTAGACTGAACCACCTTTCAGGAGGAAGAGAGAGAGAGTGTACATTTTTCTTCTGTTTGTGTGTCGTGTGTTATTTTTTATTCCTGCTCTTTTTGCTGCTGTAATGCTTTGAATTTCCCAACTATGGGACTGATAAAGGCTATCTTGTCTTACTTTATCTTTACATTTCCAACCTAATGAACGAGCATTTCCCATCTGCTGTTTTCTTCGTATGACCTGCATGAAGCAACATGGTAAAACCTTTTTGTTGTAGTCCATCCTCAGGTCCTTGCAGTTACCAACATTATTAAATAGTCTTCATTAAACTGCCCTTCATGCTTTTTGTTGACCTCATGATTTTTTTTCTACTTAGGTCAGGAAAAGACAAAAGAGTTTTTTATTATTATTATTAATTGACCACAGTTGTGGTTTTCGGGGCTTTTTTTTCAAGTTATTTCCCATTTTATTTTCTACTTTCTGTTCTCTTTATTCCTCTCTCGGTTTCACTTCCTGTCCTTTTCAGCTTTCCCTCTTGATATTGTGGCATTTCCCACATGATCTAAGAGAACAAGCTGGCAAATTTTCTCTACCCATAAAGGAAACATTTAATACTTTCATTTATCCTTCAGAAACATTCATATTCAAAATGTGTGATTTTATTCCCTAGACAGGAGTGCTATTATGGAATATGACTGTTAAATGTAAGCAGCAATTAAATCTGTCAGAGAAATGCAGTGAAGTGCAATATAATAGATGTAGAAAGTGACAGGTACAAGTTTATATCTTCATGAATCACCGAAGTTCTCAGGCGCCTTAAGTGTATTTAAATAAGCAGTGCATTCTCTGTCTTGGCTCAGCTTCCCAAGATGCAGCACATCTCTCTGGAAAAGATGGAGGGGAAACAAATGAATTTTATTTTTCTATAGCTCATGTTTGATAGTTGGCATCTGAACTGTTTCACTGAGATTTGAATGCAAAATGTTGTCAGTATTTGTATATTTACACGACAAAAGAAATATTATTGGAAGATACACAAGCAGGGAATGTGCAGAGCATTACATCATCAACTCATGCGTTAGCCTCACCGGCTATCCGGGACTTCACAAGTGGCCTGCTGATGATGACTGAAGACACAGACTGTACTTGCAGCACTGAGCTGTGAGCAGCACCATAATGCCCCACATGAAAACATCAGAGGTGGAGCATTGTCCCACTGCAGTCTCTGCTGTATGTGCTGCTCTGGACCGCTGTGACACTAATCAAGAAGGACAGCCTGAGCGTGACCTACTTCTGTAGGTGGCTCCTGCAGGCAGGACAGTCACCCTGAAAACAGCCTGAACCGCCTCCTGCCAGATGGAGGCGATGATACCGCAGCTCAGGCTTTCCTGTTTTATGATGCCAGTCCTCTGGGTCAGTGCTTCTCAGATGGGTTGGATCATGACCACTTTATGATCACAAGCTGCACAAGAATCAGCAGCAAAAGATTTGCTTTCATTTTCTGAGCTGTTTCTTTATCAGAGGAAGCTGTGACGTCTGTCATTGCTTCATAATTTACTACATTTATAAGCAATAGGCTTGTATAGCAGTATTCCTTCTTGGTCTCCAAGTAAGAATCCTCTGGCCAGGCAGCATTATGTTGTCTGTCCATGTTATTAATTTAACGGATTATTACAGCTTGTTTCAGTCTACTGTGTCTTCCTGCTGCACAACAAGTGTGAGCTCTCCAAAATACAAGGGCCACCTATAAATGAATGAACCATTAGGCGTTGATGAATATTCCGGTGATTAGGCCAGCTGGCCACCATTCCCCAGCAGTGATCTCTAACAACCGTTCCAACGTGTCCATCCCAGACAGCTCGTTCCTGTTTTTTTGCTTTCAGCCAGACTGAAAATTAGCTTTTTGGAAGCTGCAGGAAGCTCACACCAGCTGACCTGATAGCCAGTGTTTTGTCTGTGACTCCACATTTCCTTAAATCTGAACAATGAAGGTGAAGAGTGCAAAGATAGCACAGAGATACAACAGACCCCTATGCCATGTTGAAACTAATCAGGTTCATATCTTGAGTGAGGCTTTTTTGTGGATCTTTGCCCACCTCAGAGTCACAGGATTTCTTCTACGCTGCTCTTTAAAACTTTGTTCATTCCAGCTCCTAAATCTGATGCAGTTCTGCATCAGCTGCAATCACAGCAGCAACTTCAGAACACAAACACTGTTTTCAGCATCGCCACTGTCATCCGAGACCTTTAATATCTGTCCGCTGAGCAGGCACACTGATGACATCAAGCCTGCAGAGAGGCCTGTACAGGCAGATCTCTATTTTTCCTTGTGTTCTGATTCTTTCTGACCAAATATGTGGATCAGAAGTTTAGGACTAAAATGAAATATTTACTTTTTTATGGATCAAAGACTTTTGGAATAACAATAATATAATAGTGTAACATACTTTCTCATATGTGGGACAGTTGCAGTCGTCAGTATCATCAGAGTTCTCATCAGTCATGCTAATTACTTCTGATACTAAGAATACCCAAAGTTACTGCTAACAGTATCATTACACCGAGCTTGGTTGTGATCCCAGTGATATATTGCCAGGACAATATTACTTATTTGAATTACAGTTGTAAAAGTCAGTAGGAGTCACCTGAGGGGAACCTGTGACAGCCCTGGACCCCCAGGGGTGCCCATAGCCCCCAGTATGATTGTGAAATGATGGATTCTGTATCATGAGCATGAGTTTGGCTTCTAAATAAAATCAAATAAAATGCAATGTCCTGACTGTGGTGACCCTGTTGATTTTGATTGTGTGATCCAAATACAATCACACACTTATTCCTGCTCTTAAAAAACAAACAAACAAACAAACAAACAAACAAACAAAACAAAAAAACCCCACCCAAAACCCAATAATTTAAAGTGTCTAAATTTATATTGTGAATCCGAAATGTGGGCGAAGCAGTCGTGATAAAGGACCATCAGTCACAGATCCCATCATGGCGAGGATCTGTTTTTTTTTTTTGCTTTCGCTTGTAAATACTTCGGATATTTCAAATTTATAAAGCTTCATTGTTTCAGCAGCTCACGTTCAAATGCTGTATTGAATATTCATGAGAGTTGTCTTGGCCTATTGGAGGACAAGTGTGTCAGGTCTCTGCAGATTCATAGCGGGAAACCGGCGATGGTACTTTCAAAATAAAATAAAATAGCTATAGAAAGAAAGATCACGCTGGCTTTTG